ACCCTCCTCCTCCTCCTGCTCCTCCTGCTCCTCCTGCTCCTCCTGCTCCTCCTGCTCCTCCTGCTCCTCCTCGTCCTCCTCGTCCTCTCACCTCTTCTCCCCTTAGTTGACTTCGTCTCAATTGCTCCATGTAAGCATGCAGACCCCCTTCGTCCGCCGGCCGCCTGACCCCACCCGCAGTCAGCAGGAGCAACCAAGAGCAGGACGGTTGACCCCAGCACGCTCTGGTAAGCAAGCGAGACGAACTTGGTCAACACGGCTCCGCACTTCTTGTCCAGCTCCTGTCAGATGAAGTTACATAATGCTGGAAGGAGGAGCAGGAGGAGCAGGAGGAGCAGGAGGAGCAGGAGGAGGAGCAGGACCAGGACCAGGAGCAGGAGGAGCAGGAGGAGCAGGAGGAGCAGGAGGAGCAGGAGCAGGAGCAGGAGCAGGAGCAGGAGCAGGAGGAGCGAGGATTAGGGAGGAGGGGGACGAGGAGGAGAGCTTACTGGTTCAATCCGCCACACACTGCGAACTGATAGACGATGGAGACAGCGAGCCAACCTGAGCGACGGGATGAGACGAGGGGAAGCAGGAGAAAGAGCAGGAGGAGGGGAAGGAAACAATCAAGGATCGGGAGAAGAGGAGATGGGGGGAGGAGGACGAGGACGAGGAGGTCGAGGAGGAGTAGGAGCTGGAGGAGGAAGAGGAGGAGCAGGTGCAGGTGCAGGAGGAGGAAGTTTCACCGAGAAATCCAATGACGACGAAGAAATCAGCAACGACGATAAGGCCGAGGACACGCCTGTGAGCTGTGAGAAGGAACGAGAGGGAGGAGGTCAAGGGTAGAGAAGAGACGAGGATGGGAAACAGGAGCAGGAGAAACCAGAGGGGGGAGGAGAATGAGGAAGACGAGTACCACCAGGAATAGGAAAGGGAGAGGAAGAGCGAGAGCGTGAGCGAGAGCGAGAGCGAGAGCGAGAGCGAGAGCGAGAGGGGGAGGAAGAGAGAGAGCGAGAGAGAGAGGGAGAGGGGGAGGGAGAGGGAGAGGGAGAGGGAGAAGGGGAGGGAGGGAGGGAGGAGGAGGGAGGAGGGAGGAGGGAGGA